TAGTGGTTGGCAAAGTGGGGGAGTAAAAATGGATAATGGGATGGAGGGGTTCTATATTTGAAGGGTGGAGTTGACTCCCTAAAATTAAATGAAAAAAGAAAAAGTAAAAAGGCTGGGGGCTTGGTTGCATAGGGGAAAGATGACATCTGGGGCATGGTGCGCACGATATAAACTAATTCCATGACGTCATGATGATGTTATGCCTGTGTCACGGGGCACTAACAATGGCATGTTTATATTTAAAAATTTGGTAGATCCAAGGGTTGTGATCATTTGGACACTATTTGAACAGGAAAAAGATTTATCCAACGGCTGAAATTGAAATCCAACAGTTAAAATAATTTATTTTCCTTTTCAATTATTTTTAATTAAAAGTTTGTTGGGAAAAAATAGTAATGAAATTTATTTATTTTTACATCGAAATGTGTCTTTTTTATTTTATGATTAATCAGAGAAAAAATTAAAAGGAAAACATTACTAATAATAATTTAATTAATGTTTTACTAAATTGATATGTAAAAAATGTCCTGAGTGTATTTTATTGACGGTGTTGGAATGCAGAGAAATAAGAGTCAAAACACTGTTTTCATATTGACGGGGTCCATTTTTGACATTTGGACTCTTGCACTACTCTAAATGGTCTAAGTAGTCAACGACATCAAAAGTGTGTGAAAACTTTGTGAAGGGGTATGAGCGGCGGTGTGGCGTGTGGCTGGACGGCGCCTTCCAGATCTGTGAAGGCGGCGGCGCTGGACGGCGGGCGGCGGCTAGACGACGGGCAGTGGTTGAACGGTGGGGCGTCTGCACAGGAGGACATTGGGAGGTTGTAGCTATATAGGGTTACAAAATAAGAGTGGAAGACTAGGGTTTTATAGGTATAAGCTAAAGGATATATTTGTCACCTCAAAATTATTTATTATTTATTAATTACGAATTTAATTAGAATATAATGAATTTTATAATTATTTTGGGAAGAAAACTAGTTAGGTCATAGATTGGGAAACTCATTGAGTTTTAATCATATCTAGGGTAATTATCTCTTATACTAACCTCATGAACCAATTATCAAAACGTACGACTTGTGAGCTGCAAAGCTTTTACTACTATCTCTACAATCTTATAAGAGTGAATATTGGTAAGGGTACAATTGTCATAAAAAAATGTGTTGGTGTCTCTTGCTGCATAAAGTCGTTGTACATCATGCATGATTTTTTGTACTTTTACATTTATTATGGTTTGTGTTTAACGGGAAAGTAGTTTTCCGTCATTCAATCCTATCCTTTCACCTTATCTTCTCCGTTCAAACACCTCAACCTATTTCCCCAGCCTTTTCCGTTAAGATACTATGCGGCGGCCAATGACCACGCACGTGAGACTCCGACTGGTCTCGATTGTTCGGCGGCCGATGGAGGGAAAGAAGCCCAGCGCAGCCCTCTGCATCATTTGCGACTCCAACGGGGCAATTATGGAACTTTAAGAGGCGCTGAGAACCGACCTCGTTCTGCTCAGATGAGAGCTTGACGCATGCGTTCATCACCTTCCTTCTTTCCTTCATCTTCTTCGTGTCATGTAAGTTTTTAATTTAGTTTCTTTTAATTTTATTGAGGAATACATCTAATGATTTTATTGAATATAGAGTTGACACTCAATTCATTGAATATAGATTTCACCTTCAATCGTAACACTCAATCCTTTATAAATCTGTTTTACTCCCTCGATAACCCATATGAACTGTCTCTACCTTTTCCTCTGATTTGTCTACCAGGTCATTAGCTTTTAGGGACCCGAATCGGCGGCAAATGTCAATTGCTTGGCATCCTTTCATCTCCTTAGCTTCACCGTGTCTCCAGTGAGTTATTATTTTCCTTCATTTTGTCAGTTTAGCTGGTTGGACCCAATAAGCTGAAATCTGAAATGCTAGGGAGGGCAACGTTTAGACTTGGCGGTTCCGTTTTATTCCCTTCGGCCTTCGTGCTCTCCGCCTTCATGCCTCTAGCTTCGTATATTCATCGCCTCCTTAATCAATGCTACTTTTTCTTTAGTCGTGCACCTGCAAATCTCGCCTCCTTTCTCTGCTTCTTCCGCCAAAACCTGAAAATCCTATGTAGAAGTATTCTTCGACCATCTAGAAACAAGGAAGTATGTATTCATATTAATTAATTTGTGTATGATATAATGTGTAATCGGATATTTTAGTATGGTTTTGTTCCTTTTGGTGTGTTCCATAGGTTTTGGCTCATCCAGCAAAAAATTGTATGATTAGTAATCTATTCTTATTTGTTCTTAAGCCATTGAAAGCATGGAATTTATTTTCTGTGAGCAGTGTTTTTATAGATTGAACTATTGAAGGGTAAAAGGAGGACTTGAGTACTCATGGTTGAGGTTAATGCGTTATTTAGCTTTGTGTTCTCCATTGAAAAGCTTCAAGTTTATTTATGTTGGTCATGAGTTACGCCTTATGTTGAATATAATGCTTTTATTTAAATCCACTCTGCAGTCAATATGAATTCATAAATCGGTCCCTAATGGCTGATGGTGAAGCTGTTCTTGGTGATAGTTGTGTAATTGGAATATTTGAGCATTGTCGTCACTCCTTATGGTTATCTTGCTTCAAAGTATATGCAATTTGTGTTTTGATTACTTTTATCATATGGCAATGAGGTTTCAGAATTTCATATCAATAGTACTTTGATGTTGGAGTTCAAGCTGTTTTGTAATTCCTTCTTTTTGATCCAGTTTTTTGGGATGGTTTCTGGCAATCTTTCTCATTTTCCCAATTGCCCGTAAGATTTAGAAAGCCACTGTCTACTCCTAATGTCTATGACAATATACTTCCATAATCATAAACTTAATAGTACATAAACAAAAAGATACAACTGTCGGGTTATCATCAATTATACTTACATTTCTAACTTTTCTTCTATTGATTGATTTAACTCAAGTACCATAATTTGGCCATAGGAATGGTCCTTAAGAAATTGTTCCTTTCATTTTCGCCATATATCAATTTTATTTTCACTTTCATCATGCTAACATATGTATCCTTTTTACTTGAGATTTGCTCCAGTACTCTTATCATAGTGAAAGGTGCCCTACTGTCCTCATGCTTATCTTTCATGTTCAAAGGCTCACATTTATGAAGTAGTGCCGCACCCATCCCTTTCTATTTGAAAGTGCAGACCGTGGGTATGGCAATGATGCCAACTTTTTTGGTAGCACTAAACTGGAAAGAGTAATCATAAGCAGTAGGAAGTCAGTTATATTTGACAAATTACTTGACACTTTACATGAAACAACTCACCGCTTACTCATATATTCACTCAACTTAAACCGAGAAATTAATTTTCCTACAATGGCCTTGGGCATTACCACGAACGCGCAACGCGCGTTACTAAACTAGTGAAACATAAGCTTAATGAAGTTTTGACAGAAGTGGTTCGATTCGCTGATTCTGCTAGTTTATGAAAAATATTATATTTACTATACTTTTTCATATAGTCAAGAAAGAATGTATATAAAAAATATCTAAAATTTATGGCCTTCTATAATAACTTTAGCCAAGTCAACCAGCAAAGTAACATTAACCTTACTTTTTCTTATTATTACTCAATTGGTGAAAAGTTACGTGTAAGCTTAAAAAGTGTTACACAATTGGTGAAAAGTTACACGCAACGTGTTTGATTAAAAAGTTGGTTGATAAGCTTGAGAAGTCAAATAATATGATCACCAAACACACTTTTAGTATTTTAAGAGCAGCGCGCGTACTAGGACTTCATGTACTATAAAATTAGAACCTACAAATTTAAGTGCAACTGTCATTTTCTTTTGCAACGTAACTATAATTAATAGGTGAATGAACGGAGATGCATGATGCCATGACTATATACTATCCATGAGCACGCGGGGAGGGCTCATGGTGTACTGATATGGTAAAAATAGGAAAATAATATGCAAAGACTGATATGTTATGCTTGGACATTGAACATCAAGATAATATTATCGGGACTTGGAAAGGATGAGAATTATTTAACTAAAAATACATTCAACTTAAAACTTATTATTTTTTCCCATAATGTACAAGTTCTTGACCCCTTTCCCATCTTATTTGTTATAAACGAAATACATCTACATTTCTAAAAAATAACAAAATTGGGCATTATTCAGTCGCGCAACGCGCGATATAAAAACTAGTTAAAGTATAATTATAAACACTCCAACGTTCATTTTGTTTTGGCTGGTATATTGTACGTATATATACATACATGATTGTGTGGAGCTATAAAGAGATAGTTTCTTTGATCTTAATACATGGCTGGACAAAATTATCTTTAGAGCTCATCATCTCCTAATATTTTTTTTTGAGTTGAACACTCTCTAATATATTACAACTCTGCTAGATTAATTTTATTTTCATCTCGTTGTTCTGTTACCGGCTTATGCCGAAGAGCTCGTTTTATCTTGGAGAAATGTTTTCGCTAGTCGGAAATACTTTCTTGAGGACAGCGTTTACGCGACTCGAGCTATATTATTTTCTAACATTTTTTTTTGCAGGTTTATCCGGCCGAATTCCTCCAACAGTCATTAAGTTCATCTAATGTTTACTTCTTTCTTTAAAAGGCATTTAGAATTATAGTGAGAATGAAGATAACTAGTTTGCACCAGTAGTATCTTTTGCAGATTTTTATACTTAGGTTTCAGCTCATTTCTTCCTTGATTTGCTCCCCCATACTATTATACTCTGACAGATTTTATATCTCCTACAAAAATTGAGCAGGCTGATTCTATTCGTTTCTTGGACAAGATGCTCCAACACCCAATTATCTTTTGATTCCAGGTTTGCATTCTCATTGCAGATACATAGTAGAAGTACACGGAGATGATAATTAGCTAAGAAGATAAAAGTCTTAAAGAGGAAATGAGGACAAGAGAGATATTGTTGGATTCTGCGTTAAGATACATAAAAGGAAGAAGAAATGTGATGAAGTAGAGTCAAATAATATAATAAATACATGTAATAAATTCAAAATATTGATTGAATGATATATTAGTTGTGATACTTTTTGTGTTGTTTTTGTTTACTTTTGTTCAATTGTACATATTTCATTTTGTTGCGTTATGTTGTTTTTTGTTGCATTATGTTTCTTTTTATTGCATCATGTTGCTTTTATGTGCATCGTGTTGTTTATGGTTGATTTTGATTTTTTATTCCTTATTTAGGATTCTATTTAACTTTGTTGCTTCATTAAAACAAGAAAATTATTTATGGATTTATATGCAAACACCTTGAATTTGGATTTATGATTATCAACAACAATTAGAAACAAGAAACAATAAAAAACAAAAAAATTTAGAGCTATAAACAAAAAGAAACAAAGTGAAACAATACCCAACTACAACTAACTATAAAATCATAATACCAATTCAACAGCTAAAAAATCAAGTATTTTAAAAATATTAAATTACAAAATTAAAAATTTACTTCGTATAATTTATCAATTTTTAAATGTATCCACAAGTTCATTATTTAATTTTTCACAATTTAGGTTTTTTCTTTAAACTCCTTTAGTTTACATTAATTTTCTAATAATTTTTATGAATTATGATATTTAAAATTTCTATTATTCATAAAATTTAAATTAAATGTTTCACTGTTTTCACGTTTTATAGATTTAGTGGACTTTATTAGTTTTTTTACTCGTATACATTAATATCAGTAAAATATAATCACTTTCAAAAAACTCCAATTAGTTTTCATACTTGTAATGGTTGAAAACATTTTTATGCTATTTGACATAATTCGTTGACAGTTTTTAGGTTTCTAATTTTTTTTTAAGTGTTTTAAACTTTTTTATTAATTTTTTCATTTTGACAGTTTATTATATAAACTATATCAAGTATTTAAAAAATGACACTACAAAAAACGTATTCTATACTTGCAATTTTCACACTTTTTTACGATTTTAAACCCTTTTACATTTTATTTTGGACTTTGTATTAAATTTCTATATTTGTTTACATTTTTCTGATTTTATTTTGGAAATTTAAACTCTTTTTCTTTTTTAAATTCAACTCACAAGTTTTCATTTTTTCATTTTTTACTATGCGGCTTTTATATTTCTAACTATGTTTTTTTTCTATATTTATATTTAATTTAATTTATAGAATTTAAGCTTTTGATAAGTACTTGGTATTATCATCCTTTTGAATTTTAAATGAACTTTAACATTTTTCTATATAAAAAAATAGTAGTTCCTCGCTTTCGTAAAAAAAAAGGATGACACCTCATCACTGAGGCCCCCCAACACGGACCGGACGGCACGATGGGAGGATGTAAATTGGACTATAATCACAATCTGACAGATAGAGAGTGAGGCTCCATCACAGGTACTTGCAAAGGCCCTATGCATTTTTAGCATAGTAACCTCTTATCGCAGTTGTCGAGATTCGAACCCGGGACCTAACCCTTGTAGCACTTCCTCACTCTCCGTGTATGAAGACTTGAAGAGGGGTAAAGATTGAGAACAAGTTGTGTGCCGTACTGCAACGATAATATCCCTACCTTTTGAGTGGACAAAAATAGAACTGATATTAGTTTGGACAAAAAAGGGACCCTTCAAAGCTGGCTTATATACGAAGCTCTCCTTCATTCAGCCATCTTCAGATATGATGACAACTTCACCTTCTAATCTCCCAGCGACCAACGACGGCAGCTTCAAATATCGACGGCGACGGAATTGAGTAGCGGCGGCGACGGCTTCGGTTATCGGCGGCTACGAAAACTCCTCTCCATCTTTTCTCCTCCTTTCTTCTTTTCTGCAAATCGCCTCTGCTCGTACCGCCACTGCTCAGCAAATACGCCATCGACTTGAGCAAATCCGCCTTCTCTATTGCTGGCTCTGAAATTGTTAGATCCGAAATTGCCGGCTCGGAAATTCGCCTGTCAGATCTAACCCTGCGTAGATCGGAAATTGCCGGCTCTTTGGGGCAGGTAATGGCTCGTGGGGGCGGTAAAGTGATGGCAGGTGGCTAGATCGGGGCAGTGGCGGGCTAGTCGGGGCGGTGCAGGGGACGGTGGTTGGGGCGGGATGTCACGGTTGCTGGGGTTAGGGGTGGGGTGTGAGGTTGGGGCAGCAGGTCTGCAGTGGAATAGAGGCTTGGAGGGGTTGTCGGGCCGGCAGGAGGGTTACTAACGGGGTTGGGCGGTGGCAGCAACGTGCGGTGGTCACCGACAGTGGTCAGTTGTCACTTTCGGCCTTGCTAATTGTCACTAGGGCCGAGTAAAACCCGATCCGACCCGAAAACCCCGATTTTTTTCCCCGGATATTATCCGAACCGAAGTGGATATCTGACCCGAAAAATCCGAAACCGAAAATCTGATTAGTATTGGGCCTAGACCGGGTGGCAGGTAGGGTTTGTGAAATCCCAACCCGACCCGCCCGAATATCCGAAATATATGTTAATGTGTATTTTGAATATTTTAAATTAATACTTGTGTTCAATTAGTTGTGAAATTATTTGTGCAATTTGTATTAAATTATTTGTGTAAATTGAATGTGTAGTGCACTAGTGTGTACAATTTTTGTCAAAGTGACATTCCAACACTTTAGTTATCCAATTATAATATGTTTTAATATAACCGAAACTCTGAACCTTCCTCTCTCTCCGTCTCTTTACAGCGCTTCTTCTTCAGCATTCTCTCTCCAACGCCAGAGCTACCAATCACTTAGACTTGCAATTTTAATCTGTCCCCGGGAATTGATTTCACAGCCTTGGTTCATAATCTTTGACAGATAAACAAGGATGTCAGGTGAAACTAGAAAGGTACATAAAAGGAGGAATGCCAATTCTGTGGATAACCCAAGGCAATTCAGTCAAGGAATAGTTCATGATGAAGTAATTACAGATATGGATAATCAGGATGACGATATGGAGCAAGAAAACAACGCTGCTAAAGATACTGAAAAAGAAGATACAGTTGAGGCAGCAAGAGCAAAAAAGAACAAAAGAGGCCCAACAAAAATGAAAAGGCTTGCTAGGGATCCTGCAGAGCGAATTCAGGTACAATTTACTGATTCAGGTGAACCATATGGACAAGGATCGGTGCAATTGTCATCATTCTTGGGTCCACTTGTACGTGAGCATGTACCCGTGACACTTGATGATTGGCGGTACCTTGGTGATGATCTGAAAGTTGTTTTATGGGAAGATTTGTATTAGAAGAAGAATGACAAAAGCATGACATATTTCAATCGATGGGGGTGTCTTTGGAGGGCTTCAAAATCAGGACTTGTTTCCAAAATCCGAGCAGCAAAGAAGAAAGAACAAAGGCTTAAGCTTAAACCAGATAACGTACCTTCTGTAGCAGTTTGGTGGAGATTTATAAAGACAAAAACAAGTGCATTTAAGGCCAAAAATGAAAAGTCCAAGGCAATGAGGTGTAAGCAAATGCAACACACGACTAGTCGCAAAGGAATGGTTCGATTAGCTATTGATATGGAAAGAAAAAGTTCAAATCCGTTTACTATATCAAGGGTTAAAGTTTGGATCAAAGGTCACACAAAAAAGGATGGTACACCAGTGAATTCTGTTGTTGGTGAAATAATTGATAAGTTGAATATGATTGAAATTGTAGCTCTTTCATCTTCATTAACTAATGTGAGAGAAGATGCTCTTTCTGAAGTATTAGGAAAAGATAAACCCGGGCGGTTCAGAGCAATGGGAAGGGGAGTTACTATCAGTACAGTATCATTCTTACAAGCTAGAGATAAACATGTGGTCCAATTAAAAGAGGAAAATGCTGAGTTTCGTAACAGGATTAACCAGTTGGAGACTCTAGTAAGTCAACTAGTTGGGAACCGGCGAGATGAGACAATTGAGCATGCTGATAAAGCTGATAAGAGCAGTGCCACGGGTGTGACTAGTAAACCAGATAATAAGTGCAATCTATTAGATTGGTGCGGATCAGATGATGTTGTAGCTCAAGGCCATTGGTTTTCTAGTGACCCAAAATATCTTGTAAATCATGTTCCTCTTGGACCTAATGCAATGAAAGTGGTGATTGACATTCCAAGCGTACCTGATGCTTTTCTTTGGTGGCCTACATGTGATATGTTGTGCATGAAGCAAGCTCAAGGCAAGACAATAGCATGGCCTGCTGATAAGGTGGTGTTCCAGACAAGTCAAGATTATGACGATGAAGATAATATGTCCACACATTCGGGTACAAATATGAATCATAGCAGGTGCAAGATCTTAGATTGGACTGGAGAAGATGAAATTGTTGCTCATGGTCGGTGTGTATCTAGTGATAAAAAAATGTTTGTGAACGGTATTCCACTAGGGCCAAAAGCCATGATTGTTTGGGTTGATGGCATGGCAAGACCCGAATCCTTTTTGTGGAGACCTACACTAGAGATGACATCAATCAAAGATGTTATTGGATCTAAAATTGCATGGCCTAGTGATAGGATAGTATTAGAAAATCCTCCCAGTAATGATGAGTCTCTAAAATCATCATCTGCAAAGAGTGTAAACAATTCAATGAAGAAGTGCAAATTGTTAGATATTGGAGGTTCAAGTAGCATTGTTGCTGAAGGACATTGGTCTTCAACTGATCCAAATGAGCTTGTACATTTTGTTCCTTTGGGTCCTAACGCTGTGAGAGTGTGGGTTGATATACCTAGGATCTCGACTGCGTTTCTTTGGAGGCCAACATGTGAGTTGGAATATATTGAAGATGTTGTTGGAACAACAATAGCTTGGCCATCTGATAGAGTCATTATGCTTTAAAATGCAGTTGGGACGACTGGCATAGTATGTTGAAGAAGACGTACGATCTACCAATCAATACATCTTAAATGAAATGAAGTTACTTGTTTTCGTTTTTGCATATTTAGTCTTAGTACTTTGAGATATTGTATCCATTGAAAGATTGAAAGACTAGTTGTGTGTTTCTGGCAGTACGTACAATGAATTGAATATGTTTGTATTTTATCATTTTCTACATTTTAATGAATATTTCTTATTTTGTTGGTTCTAAAATTTAGAACAAAGATATTTATGGTCTAAAAAAAATATAACCGAAATATACAAAATATATTAAATTATGTAGTGTGTACTTTGAATATGTTAAATTAATATTTGTGTTCAATTATTTGTGTAATTATTTGTGCAATTTGTGTTAAGTTATTTGTGTAATTTGGAAGTTTAATGCACCAGTGTGTACAATTTTTGTCAAAGTGGCATTTAAACACTTTAATTATCCAATTATATTTTTTTTAATATAGCCGAAATATCCGACTTAAAAATATCTGAAATACCCGATTTGAAATATCAAAGGGTCGGGCCTAGTATTTAAATTTAAAAACCCGAACGGGTTTAGGGTTCGCAGACCCGGCCCGCCAGAACCCGACCCGTGCACAACCCTAATTGTCACTGGAGCGGGCTGTGGTACTAGCCGGCAGCCAACGCCTGTGATTATTGGGTCAAATGAACTTTCACTAGGTCACTGTCGAACGGGTGGTCATTGTTGGGTTGGGTCACTATTGGGTTCGATTGGTCACTGATTAGATGGTTATGGTCAGTAATTAAGTTGGTCACTGGGTTAGGGTAACTGTAACTAATCGATCCGGGTAATTGTAACTGGTTGATCCGGGTAACTGTAACTTGTCGGTCCGGGTAACTGTAACTGGTTGATCGGTAACTGTAGCTGGTTGGTCGAGTAACTGTAACAGGTCGATCCGGATAACTATAACTAGTCAATTTGGGTAACTGTAACTGATCAGACCGAGTAACTGTAACTGGTTGATTTGGTAACTGTAACTGATTTGGGTCAAGTACGTGTAACTATTTGGTCGGATAACTATAACTGGTCGGACATGTAATTGTAATGGGTCAAAAAGGTAACTGTAACTGTTCGGATGGAATAATTGTAATTAGTAAGGTCAAATAACCATAAATGGAAAGGTTATAAAAGTCAACATTTTTTTTAAAGGGTCAACATGTCTTTTTGAAGCAACATCTCTTTTATTGCTTCTTATTGCTAGCATTTTCACAATTGGGGAGTGGCTAGAGCCTGAGGCCCTGAGCCGCAAGACGAATGATCCGTAAAACACCTACCAACGTATGTGATGCGTGTATTAAGTTTTGAGATGGTCTCTTTTCTGGAAACTATTAAATGAGGTCCTATTTTTGTCTAAATCATTTTAATTAGTATTATTTAGAAATAATGGCATGAATATTACAACCAGAGTTATCAAAGGCAAAAATATGACTAGAATCTCGATTGGACAAACATGTTGTTGAAAATGTGTGGACTGACTTTAATACCCTGAGCCCTAATTCATTTCCGTCTTTCTCTTTCTCATCACTAACCATCATCGCTTCTTCTTCCTTCATCCGCAGCCACCATCGCACCATCGCTTCTTCTCCGTTCATTCGTAGTTATCAGCACACCATCACCTTCTCCACGCCGCCGCCATCTTCACGCCATCGTCTCCACGCCGTACAGACATCACAGGTATGTCTCTGTTTTCGTCTCTCTTCTTCTTCTTTGACGAATCATCTCAAAACCTGCAAATCTGCGATGGCGGCAACCTATCGATGGCGGCGGCCTGGCGATGGTGGAGATCTGAAGATGGCGAGCGAGGATTACATTATCTATTACGAAGGCAAGTGCTGAGGGAGATTACAAATGGGGCTAGGGTTTGCATCTGCCGCCACCATTATAGGGCTACCGCAGAGGTGTGCGAAGGCTATGATGGGGTGTGGGGGTGGATCCGCAGTGGTTCAGGAACTGGATCCGCGGTGGTTCAGGGGCTGGATACGCTCTGAACAGGTGGGAATCTCGGTAGGGGTGTAGTGAGAGGGTGGGATAGTGACTGTATGTGATGGGAATTGGGAGAGAGGGTTTATCAGGGGCGGTGGAGGGCGGCGGCGGTGGCCGGGGTAGCCATGGGAAAGCGTTGGAGGTGGGGCTGAGGGTTGGCGGACTGGGGTAGGTGGGGGTCAGGGTTGGGGTTTGTGTTGAAAGAGCTGGCGGTGGTGCCTAGCGGTTTTGGACGGTGGTGGTTTCTGGTGGTAAAACTGGCAGTGAGAGTCACTATGAAAGTGTAACTATGGAAGTGTCACTATGTAGGTGTCACTGCGGAGATGTCACTGTGACCGGAGACAGTTACCGGTCGGCTGCAGAGGCGGGTGGCAGCGGCGGTGGCCAATGGCCGGCTGCAGAGGCCGGTGGTCACTGTGGCGGTTGTCACTGTAGCGGGTGTCACTATGGTCGATTTTGTAACTGTAAAATAAAGTCACTACACATTAAGGGTAAATTAGTAAGCTTAGTCCTTATTAGTGATATTTTTGAAAATTAAACAAAATGGTCACTTTTTTTCTCTTTTGTCTACTTTTTAGTACTACTGAGGTCAAAATCCCTATTATTTATGACATAATCCCAAGGATAAAGTTCCAGCATGTGTGTATGCATTTCTAGAAAGCTATCTATGTGTGAAAAGTAAAACTTAAACCGTTTATTTTTGAAAAAACGTTTACGGGTGACAAAAGTGATATTACTTTCACTTTTAGCTGAGCTTTGGCCCGACCAAGCTCAGAACACAGCCGACTAGCAGAAATCGGTCTGATATTATTTCTTTATTAGCTAGGCCGGCTGGCCCATACCATCCGTATGACCGTATTAAATTAGTTAGGGTTGGGTTTGGTTCGGCTACCAAACCGATTAAGGTTAACCCGAAACCGAAACAAAATTTCGGTTATCCAAATAACCATAATGGAAACCGAATCGTTCAGAAATGGGTACCGAATTATCGGAAACCGATATTTCGGATCGGTTTTTCAAAACCCGAAACAGTAACCGACTTTCAATTACAAAAAAAAAACACAAAATCTTTGAACTTATGAATACACTAAGCCCAAGTTTTCAAAAGTGCAAGCCCATGTTCACTTTGCCCAACAATCTCATGGACTATGCCAGGACTTAAACGGTTAAATGGTTGACAAAACATCCACTTTATATAGTTGCTTAAGATCGCTTGTCAGCCATCTTACTGGAGAGCTTAATTTGTTGGGGATTTTACCCAAGTAGTCTAAAAGTTAGAAGTAATATCAATTTTTTCAATCTCAAAAGCTCCTTTCAGTCATCTTAGTCATCTTAGAGAGTGTTTGCATTTGCTTCTACTTTTAAAAAGTAATTTTTTAAAGTGATTTTAGAGAAAGTGCTTAATAGTAAAAGTCTGTAGTGTTTTAGAATAGAAGTGATTGAAGTGAAGTAGTTAATGACATTCATGTTATTTCCGTGTTTATAATTGTGTTTTTGATTAGTTTTGAGTGATTGTTACTCTAGAAATTACACACTTTTGGTGTAATAGTTTAGTTTGTAAAATGTTTGTAAATTGTTTAGATTAGGATGGTTCTGAGCTCAAACAGGTCCAAGACCACTCCAGGGACCATTGGTGAACATCACAAATGGAAGGAAGGTGCAAAGATTTCAAGAAAAGATGAAGATTCTGATTTTTGGTAGTGTACCCGGTCGAGTGTGCTCTATACCCGATCGGGTAAGTTGCTGAAAAGTCAAATCGAATCAACCCGGGAACAAGGCAACATGCAGGAGGATTTTTTAACTCGATCGCGTATCCATACCCGATCGGGTGGCCGACATACCCGATCGGGTATGACCCCAGATTTTCAAGTTTCGAGGAAATAACCCTTACCCGATCGGTTGAGCTGAAAACCCGATCGGGTACACGACCCTGCAGGCCTAAAAAACCTATAAATACACCACATTTCCTCCATAAAAGATCACCAATTTCCTTTATACTCTTAAGCTCAGTTTAGAATAGCATTTCTCTATATTTCTTTTAGCATGTTTAGTCTCCAAATGAGGAGCTAAACTTCCATTTCTTGGTTTTGCTCTTGAAGCTTGATTGATTATTAAAGTTGTGAGTTATTTTCTTACTTTCTCCTCTTGATTATTAATTCTTCCCTTAATCTCATTCTATATCATTGTTGGAGGGTGGCTAAGTGACGATTAGTTAACGTTCCGACATTGATTATTACTAGAAACGTTCAACGAACCGATGGTTAAACGTTGAAGGTTTCATACGTAAGTAACTTCGGTATATTAATGCACGGTCGTGGTTAATAAACTTAAGAGGGATTAATTTTGTTGGTTAAACCGAAACCGTTGTGTTGAGGTTATCAATCTCAATTGATTTCATCAAGGAGTTAAAGAGGTTAAATGCTACTATTAAATCGGTATATGGCGTTGTTCTATATTTGGTTAATAGTAAGGGTTATTAGTGAACGGTCGTTGTTAATAACTACCCTCAATGAATTGGATATACTCCTCGATTGAGTATTCGAGAGGGGATAAGTTATAGATATAACAATGATCGACTAAAATATATCAACAAGTGGAAAGTAGCAAGACCAAGTCCCTTTTATTCCTGAATTTAAGCCCATATAACTCGTTCATCTTCGTGTTTAATTTAATTAAATCACTCAACAAACAAAACCCCCCTTTATTTACTAGTTCATAAAAAGAGAATTATTCCTTTCCCTGTGGATACGAACTCTACTACGCTATACTACGTATTAGTGCTAGTATTGAATTTATTTTGAGTGCACTCACGACAAAGTGCACGTCAAATTTGGCGCCGTTGCCGGGGAAAGGCAATTAATTATTCTTTTTATTTTATTTAAAAAAAAAAACATAAGTATATATGGATTTCTATTTCTGCTGAGCTTTGTAGTACATGGTAAAATATCGTTCACTGAACGAAATCACATACCACTCAAACCCCGAAATAGAACGAACTCTCGAGCGGTTGAAAAACAAATTTTCAAACTCCGACTCGGGAGAATCATCAAGTGCTAGTTCTCATTCTAGCGAGACCGAAGAGCCAATCATTATGGCTAATGAAACAAGAACGTTGAGGGAGCTCACGGCTCCAAATCTAAATCAACAACCCCTATGTATCACTTTCCCAACTCTTGATACGGGGGTCACATTTGAGCTAAAATCTGGGCTCATT